CGTTTTGTTTGATAACATCGTCTAGCAACGTGTCTGCCAAGCCCTGTGACGTAAGCTCCACTCAACCAGGCCAGCCAGCCCACACACTCAACCCCTAACCCAAGCCACCGCCCGCTCTCTCTCTCTCACTGTCTCTCTATTGGCGCCTTTGGCATAATCAGTTGCAAAAATTTGACACGCCGAACATGGGCAAGAGTAAAAAGTGTGCGTTGGCTGTCGCCTCTCCCGGATGTAGTACCTCCTGTCGTGCTGCCTTTTTGCCATTGCCAGCGCCATTTTTCTCATGTACATGAATGGCAGATGAGTGCTGGTTCGTGTGTGTCTCCCTGTGTGTGTGTGTGTGTGCGATATTTGCATATCTGTTTTTGATTTTTGTCGCTCATGGCGTCTATTCAATTTGACGTGCCGCTCGGTTGCTCAGCAGCCAACCAACCACGCCTTGCATCGCCGCCTGGTCCAATGAAATCAATAAATCTGCTCCACTGTTTGAATCCAATTTATCACTTTGCCACAGCAGCGTCAGCAGCTTGCCATTTTCCTTGCCATTTTTGCGTGCAGCGACACGCCCACAGAGCCGCGCGCGAGCGGCTTATCCGCCCGCCAAACGATGTGCATACAAGTTTATTATTAGGCTGCCACCAAGGCTCTGGCTGTGGCTGTGGCTGTGACTAAGGCACTGACTGGAGTTCTGGGTCTTTCTCCTCTGGTTATGGCTCCTTCTCCTTCTCCGCCTCTGTCTCTGGCATATGCCTTACGTATGAGTGATGTGGCACGGGTGGCGGCCATTAATGGCCCGGCAATTCCCTTTTTTGCCAAGCGTAAATGGAAAGAAGGCAGCGTGTGGGGCTGGAAGCCTCTTGGCTGCCAGTCAATAATGAAATTTAGCGAAATATTCGACGCGCACACAAAAGACGAGTCCTGCGGCGTTTTTTTGTTAGCATATTCCTGGATCCGCATTGTGTGTCGCGGGCTTTGCATATTTTACAGCGCGCCATCGAGCCATGTGCCGAAATGTTTTGTGCGCGCTCAAATTGCGGAAGTGATAAACAGGCGGCTCCGGTCCAGGAAGCATTTTCATATTTGAAACCCAAAAAGCAAAAGGCAGGCCGCCCTGGCCTGCCTCTTAGAGACAATTTTCTTTGATAATGGAATAAAAATAAAAATGAAAAACCAAAAAATAAGACAATATTGTTTGTTTGTTTTTATTTTTTTTACATTAAATATATTTAGATGGTTTTTCCTTTTTCAAAATTGTTTTCTGGCGAGTGACCGCCGCCAAAACGTAGCAGCAGACGCATGCAGACCGGGGCAGCGGTGCAATTGCCAGTAAAAGTAAATGTTAAGCAAAATATTTGCAGTTGGAATGTGTGTTTTTCTGGTTACTGCAGCACTTGCACCCTCCTGCTGTCCTGCTGTCCTGCTGCTGCTGCTGCTGCCACAACGCTTTGGGTGGGGCACATCTCATTTTGTGGGTGGTTTGTTGGGGGGGGACATTTTCTGTTTCAATTTAACAAACTTCTTACATCAAGTACATTTATATTTTGTTCGATTATACATTAAGTATTTACTGCTGCTGCTGCTCCTTTCTGTGTACATTTAAGTTTAAAATAATTTAAGTAAGCTACATTTAGTGTTCTGTTTTGTTGAATATATTTAAAAATTACTATACTCGCTTCCATGCGCTCAGACACAAAACGAAAATGTTTTAATATTTATCAAAAAGGAAAACACAAAACAGAAACAATTTCTAGCATAAATCTAACTTTAGAGGAACACAAAAACTTTCTTTGGTTTCAAAAATGTCACGAAATTTCTTACGCACTAAATATGAAATAAATCTTTTTGTTTTTTTGTGGTTTTTATTCCTTTTTTTTTTTTGTATTACAAGCATTTAATGCATTAGAATAGAGTGAGGCTAAATCATTTGAATCATTCGCTCGACTCCTGTAGGCATTCGGCTGTGTGGGGAGGCAACTGAAACTCCATTCAATCGAATCAATCAATCATGATCAAATGAGTGTACGACACAAATGATTAGGAAATGAGTGTGTGAGTGTGTGCCCCGCTTAAACTAGAACTTTACTGGTAGATTTTTTCCACTTTTATTTCTTCGTTTCATTTAACTTTCTGCACATTTATAATTTACCATTTTTAGTTGGGGGGGGCTGTGTTTAGTTTCTCTTATTAGCTAATCAAAACACTAAATACATTTATCCTTATATCCATTTACTTAAAATAGTTTTGTGTGTGTGTGTGTTTTCTCATCTATTTGTTGTTGTCTCTTTGCTGGCTATTTTCTTTGTTGCTTTTTCCACTGTCTGTCAATGTCTGGGCTGCTGCCTTTCTTCTATCTTTCCTTTCACTTATCTGCTGATTGTCCACTAAAACTATGCTTGCTCCTTTATGCTCCTTGCGTTCTACTCTGGTCTCTGCCTGTGCCTTTCAGCTGCTATTCTTTTTTGTAGGCAACATTTCAGCACTTTTCGTTTTCGTATTTTTGTTTTGGTTTTTGTTGCTTATTTATATGCTTTCGTTCACTGCTTTTTGTTTTGCTTGTGAATTATTAAACACATTAATCAAATAATGTACTTCTGTGTTGCTTTTTTAAATCATAGACTTGTGCATAAGTAATTGGATAAATGTATAATAAATTGTCAAATAAATATGCATTTCATTCGTATTTCCCTTTTCGCTTTTCTCTATTTATTTATTTGCTGCATTACCCTTTCCGTTTCCCCTCTGCTGTTTGCATTCATTATACAATTACAAATACAATTAAACATACAGCAGAGTGTTTTCTCTTCTTTTAGTTTAATATATTTTTTTATTTTATATGTATGCTTTTTGTTTGTTTTGTTTTTGTTGTTTATATTAGCATAATTTACCTTTATATATTCAGTCTTAAGCTACAAAAATCGTTATGCATATTTCTGTTCTGTTCTTTTTTTTTTTGAGTTTTTATTTTTCTGGTTTCGGGATTTTGCGGGTGTTCTGTTTTCTGCTTTCTGCTCTTTCTGCTCTTTCTGTGTCGGTTTTTTGCTTTATCCTATTTTGTTTTTATTTCTGCTTACTTTTTATGTTTAAGTTCAATCTATTCAAATGAGTTTTATATATAAATTCGCAATGTGTGTAGTTTTTATCTTTATTTTCCACTCATATTGTGGTGCCAAGCAAAAGTAAAAGTGAAGCTGAAAATGTTTAGTGTAGTTTCCACAGGAAAATTCTTCAACTTCTCTTTGTCTCTTAGTGGGGGAAAATGCAGGCGACAGGCAAAGCAAAAGCACTTAGGGACTAAAAAGCAGACACTTACAATTCTAATGAGAACTGGACCCTCAGTGCCAGGGTCTCCTTCTACTACACTTATCGTTTATCGTTTATCGTTTATCGTTATTAACTATCGACTCACAGCTAATCTGTGCCGACTGTCAGCTCTCAGCGTTTCTTTCTGCGTTTATTTTACAGGCATGCCTCATATTCTTCTTGCCACTGTGCCACTCTGTGTCTCTCTCTCTCTCTCTCTCTCTCTCTGTCTCCTACCCTAAGACGTTTAGCGCTTTCCAAGTCTCACGGTACTTGTTTTTGACTGTACTGTACTGTTGTTGTTTTTTGGTTTTTTACCGTAGTAATCGAAATAATGTATGGCTATATTCTCTGTTAAACTATAAACTATGTAGTAGAGTGTAGGCTAACGTATCTTTTCGGTTTTCTGTGTGGTTTTTTGTTAGATTTTCTTTAGTTTTTGAGTTTGTATCTATTTAAATGAAACGCCAGTTTGCTCGGAGGTTCAATCAATCAATCAGTTTTCGGTATCGTAGAAGGTTTTGCTCTTTGGGTTCTATGGGTTTTTCTGTTGCTTTAGGGATCGAAAGTGTAGTCGAGTTTAGTCGTAACATTTACAGCTAACATTAGCTAGGATTATAGTAGTAGATTTTTCCCTTTTTATAATCGAATTTTCATTTCAGTGTGTGTTTTTTTTTACAATATTTACAAAGACATTTTGTGTGTGTTCGCGCTCTCTATGGGCATAGATCGCTCGTGTTGCATGAAGCTCGTTTCCAATGGGTTTCCGTTTATGTTTCCACTCCGTTTTGCCGCTCCCTCTGCTGCTGCCGCTGCCGCTGCCGCTGCTGTTGTGCTGTGATGAAGTCTCTCGAGTATGTACAATGAATAACCAAACAGAATGCTGAATACAGATGCAGATGCAGATGCAGAAGCAGAAGCGTTCTCCAACGAGCAGCATTGGCATTCATTGCCGAATCAACCTCGACTGATCGACAGCAGCAGGCAGAGGAGCAGCATCAGTCCGGAGAGTAGCTCCTGCCGCGTGGCACCGCTCAACGGCGAATCCTGCACGTTGCTGCGCACATCCATGAGATCGCGGGACAGGGGCAGCTCGGTGGGATCACTCAGCTCATCGTGGCAGGGCAGCATCTCGGGCTTCAGCAGAAAGAGTCTCACATTGACCGTGTTCTTGTTGGCCAAAACATCGAGGGCATCGTCCCCGGCGCCGCCAGTGGCTGACGATTGATGCGGACCCATCAGCACCTCCACATCGTTGTGATTCGTGCCAGTGGCCGTGCCCGGACTGTAGAAGGAGCCCTGCTTGTGCAGATTCAGATTATCATCGAGATCGTGGCCCAGGGCCTGTCCCAGTCCTCCATTGACATCGTCGTAGTAGTCGTAACGCTTGTGGGTGGGCGCCACAGCAGCCAGCTGCAGCTTGGCCAGCTCCTGCTGCTGCCGCTTGCGTCGCATCTTGCCCTCCACCACATTCTCGGCCGCAAACTGCCGCTGTCCGCGCAGTGCCTGCCGCGACTTGCTCGTCGTGTGCTTCCTGGAGGCGCCACCAGCACTCAGGTCATCCAAGCTGCTGTAGCTGCTGCCCACGACGCTGTTGCCAATGCCGCCCATGCTGGCGCTATTGCTGCCAATAGCCGTGAAGCCGCCAACGTTCAACAGATCCAGAATCTTCGATGGCACTGGGTCCACGAAATGCGACAGTTTGGGGTCCGGCAGCGAGCAGTGCAACTCATCCAACGAGTCACGCAGCTGCAGGTGACGTGTGCGATTTCTCAATTCAAAGATCCATTGTAGACGACAGTCGCAAATGAATTTGTTGTCTGAACGAAAAGAGAGTAGCAGAAAGAGAGTTTTTTTTTCAGTGCGGGGTTTAGCTTCGATTTATATTGCAGGCACACACACAAACACATTGACAGCTCTGCTGTCTGCTGTCTGTCTGCCATTTTGTGCTAGCCATGAAATTGCTTTTGTCGCCAGTCCCCACCTGTACCCCTGTGTCCCACTGTCTGTGCCGTGTGTCAGGTGGGCTTGAGGGCCCACCAGCAGCTGCTAAGTGGGCAAAGACTGCAACAATTGGCTGTCATTTGATGGCCGATTTTCCACAGCTCCAACTCCGGTCCAAACTTCAGCTTCGATGAGTCCTGCCTGACTGCCTGCTGCCTGCTGCCTTCCATTCGTTTTAAATGATTTTCCCACTGACAATCTACAATTGAAGCTGCAGCTTTGGCGCTGTGCACTGGCTGCTCTCCTCCACGTTAAACGCCTCAATGACATTTCCAATTTGGACAAGACCCAACCTACGACCCCGTCTGTCAGTCAGCTGGACAGCAGCAGGAGTCCCTGCAGCCTCCGCCCTGCTGCTGCCCCACTCTGTTGTCAATTATTTTGTAGTCGTCTCTGGCCGGCCATGCGTTCCCTTTCAATTTGCTGTTTGGTTTAGTGGCGGAGTTTGGCCCCTCAAATTGAGCGGCTAAACAAGTGGCGGAGCGGAGCTGCCCCCGGAGTTTCCCGGAGTGCCATCTAGCACCACAGCATCTAATCACCGACAATGCTCTAATGAATAAATCAAATTACGATTCAATGAGTTTTACCAAGCAAAACTTCTGCAACGTTTAACCCCCTTTTTCCTGCCTTTTCTCTAACGGATAATGAGCTGCCAGCCAGAAGCCCGCACCCGCCCAAAGGGTTTACTGACCTTCTCTGTCGCTGTCGATGCCTGTCTCTGTGTCGCCCTGTCTCTGGGGCATAATTAGGCCCCGAAATACACACACTCCACACTCCACACTGTGACACAGTTTAGCATGTCGCATAATTAGCATAAACGCTACGAAAAATATTGACTAACACATGACTAGGGTTTGGGTTCTTGCAACATCATTATCAATGCACACACGAACAAAGGGAAAGATGAGACAGCAGACAGAGCACAGAAGAGCGAAGCTACTTCACATTCAGTGAGCCAATTGAGTTGGCAGCATATGAGAACAGTCCTAGACCCTAGTTCCAGCGTTCCCCTTTTCCTTTGGGCACAATGACAATAATAATCCGTGGCATATTTTTGTGGCGAAAGCCAAAAAGTTGCCTTGACAAAAGGAAAACTTTTGCCGCCCAGCCCACAGAAAATAGTTGGCAAATTAGTGCAGGGAGCTGAAAGGCAGAGGGAGAAGCCCAGACAACGACCAAGGAAATGGCAAGACAAAGTCAAAAATTCTAATTTTCCATATGAAAGCATGCAAAAACCATAAATAAAGTTAAATATGCATACAGACAGAGAGGCAGAGACAACGACAGAGAGAGACAGAGACTCAGTCTGGAGAGACGCTCTTGAAGGCAAAGTCCGGAAAAATGTTTAGTGGTGGTGTGGGGCAAAAATGGGCAACGACTTGGCAACATTTAGCAAGCAAATTACAACAAAATTAACATGATAATGAAGTGGAACTGCAGGGGTTGGTGGTGGGGTTGGGTAAGAGGTTAAGAGAGCTGAAAACTGGCAACTGTTTGCATGCAGCTGACCAAATGACAATGACGTTGCAGGCAGCCCAGCAAAATACAAAAAGTAATAAGAGAAAAAAAGACTCTATGTGTGTGTGTGACATAAAATACTTTTTATACTTTTAATGATACTTGGGCCAAAAGCGGTAGGAAGTGTCTTGGTCTGCTGCACACACTCCTCCACACGGAGCAGACCCTCTCCCCACTCTCTAGCACATGCCATGAACTTAGCAGCGTGGCTTCCCCCCTGCTGCCACGCCCACTTATATGCATGTAGATGCATATGCGCCTGTTAGTCAACTAGATGACTTTCAACTCTGCCCCACTGGCTTTTCCTTTTGGCTCTTTTTGGGCTATGCTCGTAGCAGGGAGCTGCCGGAAACGTTTTTACGGTTTGGCAAAAGGACATTTACATAGCCACACAGTCAGGTCCCTCCTCTCTAATAGAGAACACCTTCCCCCCCCACCAGCCACCACCCACAACCCACATATGCATATGCGTCTGTGTGTACATTAAATTTTATTATTGTCATTTTCCATGAACGAAACGAAACGGACCTCTGCTCTCCTCCCGCCTTCCTGCCTTCCTTCCTTCCTTCCCTTTCTCCTCATAACTTTTTGGTCAGCAATATTTGCATAAGTGCATTTCGGGTGTGCGTCTGTGTGTGTGTGTGTGTGTTTTGGGGGGAGGACTCTGTACTGTGTGCCCAAATTAGACCCAAAAACTGGAACTTTGTTTGGCCACTTTTAATGGCAATGTGTCGGTCCGGTCGTCGTTGTCCTCGTCTGTGTCACATTTTCATGTGCTGAAACATATTCATAATTAGTCCCTGCCACAGTCACCCTCTTAGCATGTTTGTTTCCCCTATCACAGAGTGGCTTAGCTTTAGCTACTTTTGCTGGTGATTTGGAGAGGCTTTGCAGGGGGAAGAGCTTCCCAATTGGCAAGCTGATTGGTTGTTGGCATTCTTTTGGGTTGAGAGAGAGAATATTCTTGCAATTCTCTTGTTGCTGCCCCTGAGCAGTGGACAGTGGAGCCGCCTCCTTTGACCTTCTAAATGGCATTTCATTCCTTTAGTGGCAAAAGGAAAAACATTTATTTTGAATTTAATACACTAAAACATACACACACACACACACACACACAAAAGATACAAAGCAGCGTGGTTGGGCGTGCAAAAAGAGGGTAAAAATACGCTTTAATTGGTTGGTTTTAGGTGCCGCCGCCGCTGCTCCTCCTCCTTCTACCCCTGCCACATTAACCCATGCTGGCCGCCGCAGTCTGTATTTTTGTTCTCCCTTTTTTTTTTGGTATATTGAAAAGGGCAAAAGAAATCGCAGCTACCATCCATGAGGTTTCCACAAACTCCCCCAAATCAGGAAGCGGGCAGGCAGGCAGGCAGAACCCCACAGCTGCTGGCCTAGTTCCTGGCTTTTGTTTCACTCCGGACTTCAATTCCCCAGAACCACAGCGCCGCCCCTACTCGCTGCAGTAGGGGAGAGGGTAAAGGGCAACGGGTTCGTTGAGGCTGAGGGGTCACACAATGAATGCCGCAGCACCAGCAGCGCCACGCGAGCGGCAGCTTTGTTTGAAATCAGCTCATTTTTGGTGGCCAGAACAGAGGAGAAAAGTGAGAAGAGATGGAAAGGGAGTGCAGCAGGGAGCAGGGAGCCAACTGCCCAACACGGTGGCTACTGGCCAACTGGGAACTGGGTTCGTTTGTGGCCTGGCTGGCTGCCTGTTCGCTGCCTGCTCCTCCCTGCTCTGTGTGTGACCCAGCAACGCCGCCGCCATCAGAGGCATCAGGGGACAGGCACGCACAGTTAGCAAGTTTCAAGAGGAGATTCGAGGAGTGTAGACCCTTGCCAAGCTCCCCTATGTATGTGTGGGTGGGCGCTGGCTCTTCTCTAGAGAATTTTATCATTTTTTATTACATTTCTCGAGAGCGCTATGTATGCAAATGAAGTCGAAAGTTTCGCTTTGTATATACTTGCTTCGTGGTAGTGTGGCACAGCTAGTTGCTGCCCCACAGAGAGAGAGTGAGTTAAAAAGTGAGAGAGTGAAGATGATGAAGGTTGAGGCATCCGTTCGGTTGAGAGGCGTGAATTGGACCATACCCTTTCGGGCAGGTCAGGGTATGGTAAACATTGCAGGCTGAATATATTTTGCAGAAAATTGTATGAGGAGTTGAAATTTCAAGCCAAAGTTTTCGATTTTCAACAAAATTTAATGTTTGTTGAGGTAGAATCAGTGCAACAGCAAAAGGAAGCTGGGAAAAGTTATACAAAATGGAATGCCAATTAACTTTCGTAATATTTCTGAGTAGTTTTCCCCTAAGCAAAGATTTCTGAGAAATATTTCTGCAAAGAACTGATTAATTTTGGATGTTAAAGATTTATCTCATTAAAAAAACAAATCTAAATTGTTTTGAATATCACAGAATATTCCCATTAGATTTATTCATATAAGTATTGTTTCACCCCTTGAAAGAGTATTCCCTCTCTCTACTTGCTCTCCCTCTAGAATCGCGTTGCCTTCTGCCACTCTGACTCTTTTTTTACAGCAAAAGTTATTTTATTTGTCCAGCCAAGGGGAAGCACAGTCTTCAAATTGTGGAACCTTCTTCCAACAATCGTCTCTGGTGGTTGGGGGGGATTGGGGTCGGTCTCCCTTCTTTTTTAATGAGCTTCAATTTCAGAATGTTTTTCTACGGCCTTATTTGCTGCCTCTTTCCCGCTTGTTGGCCTGTTATGGCTGCCTGTGTGTGTGATTTGGCTGACTTTTTTTTGGCTCATTCGCATTGCGTGTATTTAATTTGGTTCTGGTTCCCCTCTGCTGTTGCCAATGCCCGCACAGTGCCCTGCAATTTTCACTAAGTTCATTCAAAATCAAATGGGGGTTCCACTTCCTGTTAAAGCGGGTTGCAGGGCAGGCAGAGAGCGGAGCAGTGGGCGTTGGGGCAGTGGCCATTGAGAGCCATTTGAATGGCCGTCGCTTTTCTCGCCCAATTTTCTTTATTTGGCCAAATGGCAAGCTTGCCTCATTGAATGTTTTTTATTAAGCCAAAATGAATACCAAAACCAGACGGAAGCAAAAGGGACAAGGCACTGCCACTGGACCCTGGATTTTCCACAAGTTTTAACTTGTTTTCTTTTGATTTTTTGCTCTGAAAAATCCCAAAAAAAAAAAGCAGAAAAAACTCAGCGAGAATTTTGTAGTTTTATAATTTTCATAACATTTTCAAATGATTTCCGGTTTGCAATGTTTACCCTCAGCTGAGCTGCTGCTGCTTCAACCGCTGAGGCAAATGCGTTTATTTTGTGTTTA